AGCAACTGTGACATGCAACAGCAAATGAGTTAGAGCAGCTGTGACACGCTTTGAGGCTCTTGGAGTGCAGCTTGCACTGCTCATCCGCGCCTTCCCACGGGCAGCTTGCAAGGACTTAATTGGAGAAGGACTGTGGAATTCACAGATGAGGGAGGCATAAAGGGAATGCTCTCTGCTTACTGAGATGGGAAGGCGTGTATGTCCCCTGGGCAGCCTCACCATCATGAGAATACTGTCATCATCATAAAAGTGGCATGCTTGGGAAGGCAGCGCTCACGCCACACATCTCAAAGTATCCACACGTCTGAGGAAAGCTGCCCCTTTTAGAGGCCAAGCAACCAAGATTAGGAAGGCTGACTGGCTGCAGGTCACAGAGCTGGACAGCGCGAATCCCAAGAAGCTGTTTTGTTCAGTTGCCTAATCAGTGGTTCATTTTCTACCCCCTTAGCAGCCTATTTTCTGGAGTGAGTGTGTGTGTGTGTGTGTGTGTGTGTGTGTGTGTAGATAAAACTAAGATGGACATCGTAGCTGGCCATCCCAGCTCTCTGGGAGGATAAAGCAGAAGGCCTGAAAACTGGAGCCCAGCCCTGGGTGATCTAGCAACAACCTGTCTCAAACTATGAAACGCAAAGGCCCAGGGCTGCAGCTTAGTGAGGTGGCCCTGGGTTCAATCCCCAGTACTGAAAAGAAAGAAACAAACAAAAAGATAAACTAGATTTTTCTCTCTTTGAGAGATTTTTTTTAGCATAAAAACCAATCAAAATTTATTTCTATGATAATTTAAGTGGGCCAAGTCAGTCATGGCTTCCGTAATTCTCCATTCTGTTAACAGTGGCCATTTCAGGGTGCAGCCTGAAAAAAACCCACACATACCAGTTTCTGCTATGGTGTTCTGTCTGCTACCTTCCACTAAGAATGGCTGACAGTTACAGCTTTTTGGATGTGAGGGAATTCTCTAGAGGGATTGATTCTGGACATTAAGGAGAAGATGGGACTCAGCATATAGGACACAAAATCCTTCACTGATAATAAAGTGCATATAAGGCAGGGCTGGCAGGGCTAGCTCAGGGGACTAAAGCGCCTGCTTAGGCAGAGCGCAACAGCTGAGGTTTGATCCCCTGCGGGCTGTGTCAGCCCTGCCCCTGGGGCATGCTGAGATGGAGACTGAGCCTGGGCAAGGTGGCACGCACCTGTAATCCCAGCATTTGGGAGGCTGAAAACAGGAGAATCACTACAAGTCTGATCGATGTAGTGAAATCCTGTACTAATTAAAAATAAATAAATAAATAAATAAAATGCATATCATAGGCACAATATATTCTTGTTGTAGGAGCTGAAGATAAGGCTGTAAGCTCACAGATCAATAAAAGACAAGATTAAAGAGAAATAAGCAAAATATATGATACATAAATAGAACATGCAATATACTAGATCATGAAAATGTTAAGAAAAAAAAAGCAAGGCAAGTAGATGCGAATCAATGTTTTTCTACATTGGCAGAACTATGAACATCCTCCCTGCCATCCAGGAAAAAGTGACCAAACACATGCTGTGGCTAAAGTGGGAAACACTTCTCACCACACAGTGGATTGGGGAAATAGTTAAATATTTGGAGGAAAACAAGGTTAGATCTACCTTGGTTTGATGATAATTAATCATCAAAATAAATATCATCTAGATGAATGAAAAAATTTAACACTATGTTAAAAATAAAATAATATGGGTAAATATTTATCTGGTTCTTCAATGTCAAAGTTCTTCATAGGCATAAAAATGATTTGGTATAGAAAAATTCCATTTACAACAACATTTAAAAAATGAAATACTTAGGAATAAATAAAAGAAAAACAGCAATTTATACACAGAAACTAGAGTTGAAAGAAACTAATGAAGTCCTAAATAAAAACAAAGATGTCTCACATTCATGGAATAGAAGACATACTATTGTTAAGATGGCAATACTTCTCAGAATAATCTACAGATTTAATAAAACCCAAAATGTCTTCTTTTTGATAGAGACTGACCAGACTGCTATAAAATTCAAATGGAAACACAAGGGCCTCAGAATCCAAATTGCTCCAATAATGTGAAAGAGGATGGCTAAAAGAATTATACTTTTTGATTATAAAACTTACAATATAAAACTGAAATAACTTAGACAATATGGTACCGGCACTAGAGTAGGCCTATCGATTAATGGAATAGAATCGAGAGCTCAGAAAATCTTCATATATACAGTCAACTGACTTCTAACAAGGGTACTGGGATAATTCAATGGGGGGGGGTGGAGGAAGAATAAGCTTTTCCACAAATGGTGATGGGACACTGAATACACACATGCAGGAAAGAATGAGCCCCACCTCACACCATATACAAACAAATTAAATCAAATTGAATAACAAGCCCAAATAGAAGAGGTCAAACTACAGAACTCTTGAAAGAAAACATGGAAATAAGACTTCATGACCTTGGGTAAGGCACTGTTTTTCTAGATGATACCAAAAGCACCAGTGATAAAAGAGAAAACTACACTACAACAAAATTAGGAATTTTGGGGCTGCAAACCATACTATCAAAAAGGTAAAAAGAATGGGAGCATATATTTGTAAGCTGTATATGTAATAACAGACTTGTTTTCAGAATATTTGAAAACTCTTATCATCCACAGAAAGACAAATGTCTCCACTAAAAACAGAAAAAAAGACTTGAAAACACATTTTTTCCAAAGAAAGGTATCAACTGCCAATAAGCATGTAACAAGGTGTTCAATACTTTCAGCAACTGGAAAACTATACTTTAGACTCACAAGGTGATACTACAGTACTTCATACCCATTAGGATGGCTACAACAAAAAAGACACACAGTAACAGAAGTTAATGGGGATAGAGAGAAATTGTGACCCTCATCTTGCTGGTGGGACTGTATAAAAGTGGGGTAGCTGCTTTAGAAAAGGTTCTGAGCAGCTCTCAGAAAACTTTTACAGAGTTGTCTTCTGGCCCAGCAATTCTACTCTGAGGGTGTACACAAGAGAAATACAATTATATCTACATGAAACCTTGCTTTTTTTCTTTTTTTTTGTATTTTAGGGCAGGGTCTACAGGGTGTTCAAGATCTCAGTACTACATCGTAGTGATCCATCTGTTTACAGCCTCCCAAGAGCTGGGATTACAGGCATGCGCCACCGCACCCAGTCTCAGTCACCATCTCAGCGTGCCCCGGAGGCGGGGCCGGCATGGCAGGCTCTGGGATCGAACCCCCAGCCTCAGCGCCTGCTTGCAGGCGCTTTAATATGCTGAGCTGTTTGCCCGACCCTTACATGAAACCTTGTAAATGAATGTTCACAGCGGTATTAGTTATAACAGCTAACAAACAGAAATAGTCAAATATCCAGCAACTGTCAATAGACAAAATATATTTTCTCTATGCAATGGACTGGTATTCAGCAATAAAAAGAATAAAGTACAGATACATACTACAGTGTGGATAAATATTGTAAACATTTTGTTACATGGGAAAAGTTAACACAAAAGGGCACATATGGTTCATATTGGTTCCAGCACTGAGGTAGGAGGTGAATAAGGAGTTTCCAGAGATGAGGAGGGAAGGGAGCAGTGAGTGACAGCTATGGCTCTGGGGCTTCTTTCCGGAGTAATAAAAATGCTGTAACATTAGATAGTGGTGATGATTGTATAAGCCAGTGAACATATAAGAGCCACAAAACTGTATACTTTAACAGATCTTTCTGTAGTTTGTGAATTATATTTTATATGGAATGGACACCAAAATGAAAAATGAAAATGATTCAGTAAATTTACTGCTTAAGAAATGACTTGTTACTTTAAAAACAGGAGAAGCCATACAAACTAGGAAAACGTGTAGCATATGTTATAGTTTTTGGAACTACTGAAGAAGCCACTGATTATACTGGTATGTGCTACTAAGAACAAGAAAGACCTCCCAAGATGTGGAGTCCTCAGACAAGGCTCCCGAAGGCTGGGGCAGGAAGGAGCGCATCCTCTATAAACCTTCCAGTTTCCTGCAAGGAAGTTTATGTTTGCTACTTGGGCTTAAGGTGAAAGGAGGTAGAAAAATCTTGAAAATCTGAACCACAGTTGGTATTTGGGTAGGCTTGCAGTCTGAATAAATATAACTTTATGGTTCATCTTAGCCAAAAAACCAAAAATGAAATCAAAACCTGCAGCAAGCCATAGACAGAGAATTTAATTTATAGTGGTCTCAACTTGACAGTAATTTTAATATGCCATTGAGATAGTCAAATGCACAAAACATTTTTCTCAGGATAATGAGGTAAAGGGGGGATTATATTTTTAATAGGTAAGGTTCATATAATTCATTTGGAAAAATAAACACTTAATATAAATGGCCAAATAGCATGAAGGTCAATTCTCAAAGGAATTATAAATGACTATTAAGTATAAGTAATGGTTGAACTCTACCAGTGCTCAAGCAATGTAAAATGAAATGGTCATATAATATTTTTTACTTATCAGAGTAGCATAATTTAAAAAGCACGTGCATGCTGAGGGTTGGTGGGAGACAGACCCGTGGGAGCCTGCAGTGGTACGGTCTCTTCCTGCAGTTGTGTACAATTTAATACTCTATCATTCCTTCTTGGCGTCTATCCCAAGTAAGTAATTCCTAATTTAGATGCAGCATTTATCTCAAATTATGTTCATAAAAATATTAGGTAAAAAAGGAGAAACTACATGACCGCCTAATATTGAAAGAATGGTAAAATAGATTACGGCACACTCACCTAATTTTAATGGTGTATTATAATTTTATTTTATTTTATTGTTTTTGGTGGAACCGGGGATTGAACTCAGGCCCTTGCTCTTGCCAGGCAAGCACTTATTCTACTGAGCTATCTCCTCAGCTCCTGTATTACAATTTTATTTTTTTTGTGGAACCAGGGATTGAACTCAGGCCCTTGCATTGCCAGGGAAGCGCTTATTCCACTGAGCCATCTTCCCAGCCCCTACTACAATTTTACATGATGCTTTTATAGGACGTTCAAGGATATGGGAAACTATTCATGGTATGCTATGTGAAACACAGAGGACATACAGCTAAAATTTTAAACCTTTATATTACTGGTTCTTTTCAGTTCTGAGGACTGAATTTGGAACCTTATGCACGTACGCATTCACTCTTGCTCAAGAGCTAGGTCCCACTAGTCACCAGTTTTATGTGAATTTATGAAGCACAGAAATAAAAGTTGGTAGGAAGTACATTACAATATTAGTACCAGGGAACTCAAGGTCATGAGATACTGAGAGTAATTTTCACTGCTTTGTTTGTGTCTTTCCAATATCAATAAACATAAGAAAGATTTGTTCTATGTAAATATAAAACATCCGCACTCCACTTCTTCAGTTTTTGTGGGTGGTAAGATTATGTTTTGGGTTATAAAACTGGACCACAGCATAGACAATGAGAACATGACAGTATGTGTATAATATTTATCTTATCATTGTCACACAGTTTAAGAACTTACTATGTAATACCATATATTCATTGCAGAAAATGTAAGAAATATCAACATGAGGCAAAGTAAAAGCCCCTGGAATCCTTTAATTTGTATGATTAACTTTGGACTTAGTTTGTGCTTCTTTTTTAATTACTGAAGGTTTGAAGTTAGGAGGTTGATTGGATATTTTTCTTCTTTTTTTCATGAAGGACTTTATAAGTTTCTTTTTGAGTACTGCCTTTGCAGGATCCCCTAAATTTCTGCCATGGAGACTTTCATTTTGTTTCTGTGTCTATTTTTTTTTTTTGTATTTTAGGGAAGGGTCTACAGGATATTCAGTGTCTTGCTACTAGATCAGACTCGTAGTGATCTGCCTGTTTATAGCCTCCCAAGAGCTGGGATACAGGAGTGCGCACTACCATGCCCAGTCTCAATCACAGTCTCAGTGCGCCTTGGGGGTAAGGGCTGGCAGCACAGGCCTGGCAGTTGAACCCCTGGCTCCTTTGCCTGCTTGCAGGCACTTTAATCCACTTGAGCTATTTGGCCGGCCCTTGTCTCTGGTTTTTCTATATCCCCTATGATTTATTTAAGCCACCAATAGTTTAAGAGTATGTTGCTTAATTTTCACGTATTTGTAAGTTTTCCATTTTTATTGATTCATTCCACTGTTATAAATAGATAATTCATATGATGGAAATATTTTTCATTTGCTAAGACTTGGTTTTGGCCTTCATGGTCTAATGTGGAGAATGCTCCATAGGGATAACCACCATTCATCACTGTATATGTCTCATTAGAATTCTGCGCAAGGTCCTGAGTTCAATCCTTGGTACCACAAAAAAAAAAAAAAAAAAAAGAAAGAAAAAAAATTCTGCTGTGCATTTAAGGTACACACACTGGTAGCTATACTCAGGGAAATAAATCTATACTCACATGACTAACTGGACCTCTAATGCGTTCCCATTGGTTGCCTACCGTTCCATGGTTTGACTATACCACAATATATTTAACCAATATATTACATGGTTGGACATATACACATGCTAATTTTTTTCAGCAAAGACTGGAGCTAATGATTATTACCTCAATAAATACCTGATTGGGGTACATAACCATAATTACTAAGTGATTACTAATGGAGGGAAAGAGGGTTTCCAACTCTTCTGATAAAAATCTTACACAGTTAGTTAGGATAGATATACAGCTACATTCTCTTAATTCAGTGAATAGAAAGATTTGTTCTAATAGTGTTTGTAAACAGGATATCATGTCCGCAACTTGTACAATGAATAACTACTAAGACAACAATAATGCAATGTATAATTATTGAAACTGTCTCATTGCTATTTGTTTCTCAATAAAATTACGGACAACAATCCTACATGGAGAGTAAAGTCAGCAAATAAATACAGTAAGAAATTTTCATAACAATCGTACCTTGAATTTTCTTGAAAACTCTGGAATTCATAAACTTCAGAAATCTGTCTGCATAAAAACTTGGTCTATGAACTGAAACAGTGTCCTGAAAAGATAAATCAAAGATCACAAGATTATCTCTGGAGAATTCACTCAGGTTAGAAGCAAGATCCTGGTAAGTGGCACTCTGCTGGCTAGCGTTCTGGCCAGAGTGTCCAAAAGCCAGAGACAGCAAGGTCCTGTGTCCTGTGGGGCCCAGCAGCTGGTCTGGGGAAGAGGGCACAGACTCGATCTGAACAAAGATCCTAAATGCTCCCCTAAACTAGAGCTTTAGGGGACCGGGGAGAGATGGCCAAAGGGTTCTCCTACACACAGCAGAGAGCTGACCTTCCATCAGAACACTGGGTCCTAGGAGGGGCTTTTATTTTCTTCTGTTTCTCCAGGAAGCCAATATTTCCAGTGTCATTTGGAAAGGAGAAAAATGTTCTTATCCATGAATACAAATCAGGGACATAAATACATAGAACAACTCTAATGTAAGAGTGACACTTCAGCCTAAATGTGTTCTGGCTTCTTCTCCAAGTAGCAAGGTGAATGGCCACTATGAGGATCCCTAGGCGATAAAGCAAACTGAAGTGACATTGAATTATCTACTGATTAAACAGAAGTGGACTCTAAACCTGAAGGGTTATTTTACTATAAATCTAAGAAAAGGAATAGATGAATGAATGGGTTGTCTCTGTTCATTTCATAATCAATTACTAGCCGTCCAAGTTGTACATTTCTAGAGATAGTAAATTTGCTTATATGCATAACACTCCATTTTGAGTTCAGGTTATGGATTCCAACAGGGAAATTTATAAAAATTTAAGTTTAGCTACTACAAAGTATTGACAGTGAGGCTGGGGGAGGACTCACAAAAGTTAGGAGACCTGGCTCTAGTGCGAGTTCTGACTTTAAAAGGCTGAGTGATTCCAGGAAAAGCTAGAGACCGAGGGCTGCGGTTTCTCCACCTGTGGACAGGGTGTTATAGGAGACATGATCAGCCCATGAGGAACGACAGGTATGTACAGCCCCTCCTCAGCATGTTCTAACGGTCCTCCAGTCTCTTGGCAAGGCTGTGATATGGCAGAACATGTAGCCCCAGTATAATATGCCTCAGTGTAATCCGCACTCTGCCCAGGATGCTGGCAGCTTCTGCCTGAAGGATGCCTTCACACAATACATACAGTGATCAGCAGGATGCCAGGAGCATCTGCAGATGGCTGAGCTCTAGGCTTTGGCTTTAAAGGA